GCGAGTGAGATTTGAGATAAGAACGTCAGTAAAAGTTTGCCTGCTTCAAACTATATTTTTCAAGCAATTGTATTATATTTCCTCCTTTTCATTTACAGTAATGGGCGATTCCGAGTCGGAAGATTACACCGACTGCTATTACGCAAGTTACAGTCTTTATTTACCTACGCTAACCCTGTCAACCGAGGCTGATTTCCACAGGGGGCGTGTAAAAAGGAAGAACAGAAATATAGTAATATTTAAAGCTATTTATAAACTATAATATCAACTAAGTTATATAAACTATAAGTATATAAATAAGACATATTACATATATATATATATGTGCAAGTTTTTAAAGTTTCTTAATTTTAAGATCTTGTTTTAATTAAAGAATGTGAGTAGCAATTTGCCAATTTTATTCCGAAAACATGACTTGGATTTGCTTTCCCTAATTTCGTTTGGAATAGAGTTCCATAAGTATAAGCACCGTTATGCATGAAACTATTTTTCATGTTATTTGTTCGCTGTGGTAAACAAAGACCACTGGAAATGTCCCGAAGTTTGTAATTTGTCATCCCACTTTTATAAGTGAAAATATTTGTGAGTGATTCAGGACCCATTTTATTCAAAATTTTGTACATTATTTTTGCATTATTTTGGCCGCCTCGAAATTGCACCTAATATAAGCACACTTCCTTTCTGGAAGGGTTACGCTTTCTGTCGCAACTAATTCATCAAACATGCCTTAGTTTTGTCTTAGCTTTTACTCAGAGGAAAACCACTGAAATCTCTAAAGAAAAACCCGCACAGAAGACGTTGCGTTTTTCGCAGCTGCACCTGGTCAAATCTAATTATGTTCTCGCTCGAAATTCCCATTTACAAAAACCCACCAAAAACAACTCTAGCCATCCTCGACCACGCATAAAATATTATATTATTGGCTTTTCCATTTACAATAATGGGCGATATACGGTGGAAACGGCTCTCTCTAAAACGGACAGCTCTCTTGCCAGTATAGAGACAGTTTCCAATGTCCCGAAATTGGATCAACAAATCAAATCGCACCGCGTGTAAGCGGATATTGGCATAGTTACAATACCCACGCAAACGTACATATAGGCAATAGAGCACACTCGTTTCCGAGGAAGAATTAGTTTTTAGCAAAAGGAAAACCGGAGTATCTAAAAAACAACCCTCGAAGCCCAGACAACGAAGCGTGTATTACTCCAAATATGCATGTAGTCCCATGTAGTCAAAGCCAGAATTCCTTTTATTTACTTTGTCTACAAAATATATACAATTGAGTTATGAATATTTATACTAGTAAACTACGTATTTTCGCTTTTTTACGGTAAACTTCCTTAGAAATCCTAAGTTAAATAGGAAAAAACATTTGCTTGATAGTAAAACTAATTTCGACACCTGAAGATTCGATTTGTAAAGCATTCAGCGGACTGTCCAGTCGTAGTTTAGATCAGTGGAAGAATTAAACCTGATTTCCACACTCTGTCATTTCTTTATCAATTTTTGGTAACAAGCGCTATCATCCTGCACTCGTTTCGTGTTGTCGAGCTCTGTGTAGCCAGGGGGTGTTTTTATCTTCCCAACCTCTTCGTATGATGATTCTGCTTCAGTATGAGCAGGTATTGCATAATCGGAGTGGAGTTTTAACAATTTCTGGTAGAGGCCATCATTTGTTGTTTCGTCTTGTCGGTTTCTGTCAAGCTCAGCGTAAACAGAAGATGGCGAGATTTGGACTTCTTCGTACGGTTCTGTTTCATCATCAACTGGACTATTATCTGATTCCTGTATTAACAAAAAAGGGGAGGCTGATTTGGCTTGGTCTTACCATGAGGATGCAGGATGACAAACGTACGAAGATCGCAAATGAGTGTGTGGAAGAGAGGCGTGGTAAAAGACCTCAATGACCTAGGAAGTACATGGCAAAGTTCTGGTTCAAAAGGGAGATGAATGCCGAAAGTTCGACAAGAAATAGAATGATATACTGTAACTGAGAGGTTCAGATTTTGACTTTCACTGCCGCTACTGTTACCATTAACCAATCAAATTCATTTATTGTGGCAAATTAACCAATCAGATGCATTTATTGTGGCCAATTAACCAATCAAATGCATTTATTGTGGCCAATTAACCAATCAAATGTGTATTAAGGCTGTGAGTGGTGTTGTGGTTAAATCTGAACTTCCCTAAGGTAAGTTAATTATAGACACAGCGATAAATATCACACAGTGGATAGTGCTTGGGGATGCCTTAGGGATGATCCTTACTGGACCTCTAGGGAGAACAGTTTAAAACTGGAAGAGCTATCCAGTATAAAATCTATAAATAAAGTTAGTTTTGTTCAGATAAAGCGTGTTAAGTCCACAGAGCAATCCTATTTTTCCGTTTGAGCTAGCTACTAATTATGAACAATAAGCCTGCAAAAAAACTTACTTGATTATTTTGTGATGCCTCTGGTGCAATTTCATTTTGCATATCACCTATATACAGGCAAACAGATTTATTTTGAGAGGTTAAACTAACTTTATTTATACACTGGATAGTTCCATGTGTTCTAAAGTCCAGCAAGGGTCTCTTATTGCTCTATGCTTACTTCACAGGAGTAAACCTATAAACTAACCTAAATAATACTACATAGCTTTATCCGTTCCAAACTTTTCTCCCGAGAGGTTCAGTATTTGTCATCCATCTATTTATTCAGTGTTACTACAGGAGGAAACCCAAACTAAACTAACTTTATTTAAACTGGATAGCTGTATAATTGGATCTATATAAAGATCCAATAATTCCTTACCAAACTGACAGATATGTGACAGATATATGTCACAGTTCTGTAACATATCTGCAAAATATATGTTCGAAAGTATCTGCCACATATCTGCAACATATAGGAATTTGGCCCCATAACATATCTGTCACAGTTATGTGACAGATATCTGTCACAGTTATGTGACAGATATCTGTCACAGTTATGTGGCAGATATCTGTCACAGTTATATGACAGATATCTGTCACATATCTGCAACATATAGGAATTTGGCCCAATAACATATCTGTCACAGTTATGTGACAGTATAGTTTCCCTGCAGATAAAAGTATCTGTATATTATCTACCAAACAGGTATGTCACATAACTGCCACCAAGTGAGATTTATCTCTTGCATAAAACTATTTCCTCTTACTTCTGCAACATCACGTTGCTGCAACTGTACCTCTGTCATGTTCACTTGAAGCCATAAATAATTTAATACGAAGAAATATTAGATCAGAATAGTAAATGTATTTATTAGTAAATATATAATTATGATAGGTTACACATATAGATAAATTTAAGACTGTACAATCAATTTTTCTCCAGGGGCCAGTTGTTCAAGGGTGGATTAGCTTAACCCTAGGTTAACCTAAACTTCAAAGCAAACTTCCTGATAGCTTGTCTATAAATTTGGAAATATTTCTTCAGAGATCTTGTCTGGATCAATAGGAGTTTTCTTCTTTGAAGTTTTGAAATAAACAGGCGTGTAGAAATACACAAACTAAAACAGCAGGCTAAATTTTAACCCAGGGTTAGCGCTAGTCCAGTATTGAACAACCGGCCCCTGGGGCAGAGTAATTACACTTACTATAACCTACACTTATTTAAAATTTCCTAATATTATATTTATATACATGGCCAGCAATAAATAATGAGTACCTAAAAGTCATTAATTGTTAATGTCAAGTCTCACTCAGCTGGTTTGCTTTTAGTTCAAGCCCCACAGCATTTGTCATGTACCATGTACTGCATAGCAGCTGTCTTTCCATAGACTGTATCATCCAGAACAAAAGCTGAAAAAATAGGAATTGATAAAATCAGATTTATTTAATATGTTTTAGATTTAATTGGCATTGAGACATCAAGAATAATCTAGATAGTGTTAGGCCAAATGGGGGATGCCCTTAGGGTAGCCACGTGTTATGGGTTACCAGGTATATATTGGCTTAATTAACAATCTACTAGGTTACATTTGATTTGATACTATTTTTGTAAAGTATATTACAGGAGACATTAGGGCTTACTAATGAGTTAGCCAAAGAAATCAGTAAACACGAAGCTCTAGGAAGATGTTCTGTGACTGGTTGATTATGACAATGACAAAAGACGTAATTGACTTACATAAACAAAAGGAATATTGTTCTTGCTTCGTTCTTTAGAAAATCCATTCTATAGCTTATTCTTTTGTCATTGTAACAATCAACCAATCACAGAACATCTTCCTAGAGCTTCGTGCCGACCCAAAGAAATCACCGACCCTAATCCTTTTATCTGAAGTTTGCAAAGAGTTTGGAACAATTTTTCATACCCAGTTTGTGGCGTTAGTTTTGTACTAGCTATATAATACTTTTGTTTGTGGAACACCATGTAACTACATATGGTGTTTCCACAAACAAAAGTATTATATGTTTTATCGCCATGGAAACCTGCAAAGAAAGTATGACTTGTTTGTTTCAAAATCAAAGTTGATGTAATATTTAATGAATGTTTGTGTCATCTGTGCTGCTGTAATTGATGTAGAATATCATTCTCATGCATGAACATTTATATAATAAAAAATTTACAAGACAAAAAGAAAACCCTACCTACTCTGGCTAAATTTTTTGGGTCCAGCCACAGCCCTCCCCCTGCATTATTGCAGGCCTATGGACAGCTCTACATGTACCATACTGTAATGACTCATTTATGACAGAAAATTGACTATTGCACACTGACCCTTTATACTTCTGGCATAAATACACATTCTGGATTATTAAAGCACTAAACTACTAAAGCCCTACACACTATGCTCAATTTTTAGTACGGCACAGATAAAACTGGTACCTGTACCGAATTAATCTGTGCTCGGCCAGTATGAATAGGTAGTCCAAGCATGGTAAACATGTTACGGGTACCAAAATTGAGCACAGTGTCAGTGTTAACAGGCCTTAAAATGGCTGCATTTGGAGGTAAACTTAGGATTCATGTGCAATTATGTTGTTACTAGTTACTAAATTTTTGTAGGGGCTGTTTATAAGATTGAGACTGATTTGTCTGGCCTAGGTGGCCACCTTAGCCGGGCCAGTTTGTGATTTTTTTTATAGAAAGCACTAAAAGCTGACTATTTATTCTTGTTAATTCTTACCTTACAACACCAGTTTGTCAACTCAATCCAGATCTGATTGTTGAGACTTGAGAACAATATTTGGAGCACACCGGGCTATAATCCAGTTCCAATATTAATCTGAAAATATATAAAGAGAACATTTGAGGCAGTGTCTCAGCACTCATACATCTTCCAGCTTTTACAAACAAAAATCATTTTATACAACTGAAGCTCATTAATAAAGAGCTTGCAAGACTCTCCCCTTGACGAGTAAAATTGTCTTAAGCAACACAGTTGCAGCTTAATGGGTTAAGGATCAATACACTGATACATCACATTCAATGTTGTAATTCTTCTGCAATTACAATCCTTATTCATGTATTAAAATGCTAACATATTTTTAACAGCATTCAAATGTTTAATATATTATTT